GCAGTTCCTTAAAGAGCCGCAGGTTTGCCGACCTGTGGTCATGATGGTTGTTGCTTGAGACGTTCCAAACAAGTGGGTGGATGTGATCGAGAGGAAATTATTGAGCATCGTTTTTGTTTTCACAAAGAAGGCTGTGATATTGTGACCGAGGGCAATGTGAGAGAAACAAAATATAAGTGCAATGATTTTTCTAAGTAAATATCAAATTTGTTGGCTGAACATAACTGATAAACACAACAGAATACACACACACACACACTTATAGATGGGGACTTTCATCAGAGTGATGTATTAAATAGGGAAGTAGTAAGATGTGTGATATTGAAAAACTGAAGTCGATCATAGAAAAAAACCGTTCACGACCATGCTGCAAGGAGAATGCTTGCAGTGAGTGTATATTACTTTACGGGACACAGACTCTTGCCATAGAACACGGAAAGAACAATGAAAACTACACAAATGCGCGCACGTTCACAATTACACCGAGAGACAGATGGAAGAGGAGAAACACAGAGCAGAGGACGAATGCAAATGAAGGCAAACGCCGCATTGGCTGTTTAGACTGACGAACTGGACTGGGCAGGACACGTGGAAAAATGGTCGAGACGAATGATGGAGCGGCAGCCAAAGAAGGTGGCACGGCGGAGGTAATGACCCCGGCGCAGATGAGGTCGGCTCGTTTTCCGTGTGGCGAGATGTTAGCTTCCTCGCCTGGAATACAGGAGGTCGTGCGTTCGACACCGACCGTGACGCCTGCTGTATATTTGGGGTTTTGCGTCTCTCTTACCTGGCTAACAAGCGCCATGACCTCGCCAAATTCGCCTGTGCTCAGACGAAGATGACGGTGTACAGAACGAGGAAAAAGATGCTGGAAGGTGACACTGACGGCTGCTCTGTGCTGCTTCCAGTGTTCAAGGCGCGGCTCCGACTGAAGCACGCATACCACACACGTGTCGGTGATGTGCACGTCTTCTTCGAACGCTGGGGAGCCGGACAAGCCCTTTGTACCAGCGTGGACGGCACCCTCCACGTGTTCATCTTCTGAAGCGCTCGCTTTTATTTCGTGTTGTGCGCAGTGCATTTAGCGCCACAGCGCATGGATGTAGTGTTTGTTTGTGTTGCTGGTGACTTTGTGTGTTTCGTATCGGAATCGCCTCCAGTGCTGATGCTGCTGGCGGCAATAAAAGTTGTTTAAAGGTGAAAAAAGTATCTCTCTCTCCGTGGTCGCGTGGATTTTTTCCCCTGGTCCTCCGAGTTTTCCCCTCCGCAGTTAGAAACAACATCGCCACGCGTTTAGAGTGTTTGACCGCTGTACATTTCCACTTCGTTGGGCTATCATTCGTCGCCAGGTCGCTCTTTCAAAAATAACTATGCAGCTCAGTGGGCGTTACCTGGTAAAATAGAAATAAAATAGCTGATAGTTTTAGCAATTCATCATCGTGGGGGAGCGGAGGCGACATCGTGGAGAAGCCTTCATCCAGCAGTGGATAGAGCGTGACCGACGATGTCGATTGATTTTCTGACCCAGGGTCCTGAGTACGCAGCTACTTGCGTAATTCCAGATATGGCGTTTGCCCGGTAAAAGATAAGACTTGTTATTCAGTCAGGTAGTTAAGACAAATAATTAGCGTCAGAGCCCCCATAAAAAAAAATAACTTCGTATCAACAGTTTGCAAATATGAACATTGACTGATGGGGTTGATTCGATTGTTCATTTGTAAAGCATATCGAGCCTCCTTTCCGCTTGGTTCACGCGCGCGTAAACAATTTTTGTTTAATTTATGGTTTCAAACAACGACTTCGGTGGCGGCTCCGCTGGTGTGCAGCGCGTGGACAATGGAGGAGTCGTAAATACACCAGGCCCTGGATTGGCAGCGCCGCCACCTCCAGCCGTCGGTCAGCTGTCGGAATTTCCAATTGTTCGGCTCGCTCGGCTCACGAAACAATAGCTCACGGATTCTCCCACCTACGGGCCCCCCCCCCCCCCCCCATAGCACCACTCCGCGATGATTGCCGCCTTGGTACAAAGTGCGCGCGACACCTCTGCTGCAGTGTCAACACACGTGCGCGCGCACACACACACAAAGGCAAAGATCCCCCGTGTAGCCTTCAGACTGTTGGGGCAAGTGCTGTTAGCGAGCACCTATGAAGGCCGGCACGGCACACGAGGAGAGTGGGTGGCCAGTACCACGCCCGGCAGCCTTTGTCTCCCCAGTGGCGATGTTTTAGACACCGCACCAAGCTACTCAATTGAGGCTGAGTCGACCCAGGGGAGGCCCAGGAACCGGTTCGGATAATCGTCACCGGTGTTAGCCGTGAGCGGGAATCGAACTCGGCTTGCCCGGGTTGGTCGCGCAACGTGTTAACCACTGCGCCACCGCTCCTCACAACACACACGCGCACGCACGCGCGCGCGCTTGCTCACACGCGACGTGTGACTCAACGTCGAAGGAAGGTGGCCGAGGGCTTGGCTGGTTCTCGCTTTGAAGAGGTAAAAACAAACACAACTGTCCGCAAGTCGTCGCTCCAGCCCCTGCACGTGGCGCTGCGTCGGTTTGGTCGCAAGGTCCCCGTGCAGATTCGCCCCCTCGGGACGGACGCAGCCACCACGTGCAGGAGGAGGAGGACGAGGAAGAGGAGGTGAGGCTGTGATTGCGGGCTAAGTCGGCGGAGTGTGGCTGCAGCGAGCGAGCGAGGGAGGACCAACTCAAGGAATTCCATTGAAGAGGTAACCCAGTGCCCCCCACTCGCCGCCACCTTGGTTTGTGTTTTTCTCACGGTTATGATTTAAATTTACCGCGCGTCCTAGACTCAGTCACGCGCAATAAGATCTAACATGGTGGTCCAGATGTCTTGTGACCCCACCCCCATTTCATTCTCTAAAACTGAAATAGTTTTTTGTAGTAATGTTTGTTTCCTAAATATTAAAAAAACATAAATGAATATGTAAAGGGCAACAAATGTTAGGGGTGAATTAATTGGGGGGGGGGGGGGGGGGGGGGGGGGGGTGGGGTCACAAGACATCCAGGCCACGTTGTACAGCCCCGTACTTCGCGATCGTGTGTGTGTGTCACCTTGTTGCTAACGAGACCGAGGTGTAATCCAAAGTTGAGCGTTTGCTGGCTGCTGATACAAAATGCCTCGCTGGGTTCTTCGTCATGAAGTAGGAGAGATGGCTGAACTTTGTACAATGCCCTCAATGGATTTCAATTGAGTACAACGACCGAAACTCACTGCACGCATCCCGCCTCTCGTCATTTCTCCGGAAGCTAAGCGGGTTTCAGCCTGCATGGATACCGCTAGAATGGGGGACCGCGTGCGTTGTGGGCTCGTACTGCGATGTGTCCGGGAAATGCCACCGTGGCAATGGATCCTTAAATCTATCTGTGCGGACCTCGGAGCGGTACCGTGGTGGGTTTTCTCTGGGTTGCGTTTGCGTTTTGCGCTGACGAGTCAAACTCTAAATTAATTGAACTGTCCAAATGTCTCAACGCAGGGCCCTCCTGGAAACAATAGACTTGGGACTCTATCCTGGGCAGGTAACGAAACACTGTTAATTATTATTAACATTGTCAAAAAAATGTCATCAAGTAACCTCCACGACTGACAAGGTGATGGGGAAAATCAAACCTTCATCCAGCCGTGGATAGAAAGGAGCTGTTCCATTACGCATAACGTATCGCGTCAGGCGCAATGTACACGGGCCCTGCACCAGCGCTATCGAAGGTCACTGAGAGTTCCACGTGGGACGTCAGGGCATTGCGGTAAATGTGGTCAGCTGTGACGCACTCCGGCATTTAGTCCAGATTGCCCCTGAAACGAAGTTAAATAGGAATAACGCGTAGGGGGCTGCATCGCTGTAAATATACGTAGACCCCCCCCAACCCCCATCCGCCTCCTCTCACCAAATAAAACACTCTAAATTTGTATATATATTTATATATAAAACAGCTTTGAACGGTCAGCGAAGAGCAACCGTTAGAGACTTGAATTTTGAAGTGATTTAGCCATCCATTTAATTGCTTTTTATGAGAGTTGGTGAATTGCAGATACACTCGCCCACCCACTCGTCCACCCCACCGCCTTCACCTGTACACAATTGGGGCTGTGCCAAGTTCCACGCTTTGGTGTTCGTATCCACGATCGCACACGAGAGAGAGAGAGGGGCAGTTATTTTCCATTTGTACAACAGGCATCTGCCTCTGCCGTGGTCTGTGTTGATCCGGTTTAAAGCAAGGGTTCTGCACAAATTCCGCAACATGTTTTTTCATATATATAAATATTCGCACCACCAACTCGGATTTGTACTCATCAACAAACCTACGTCTCGGCAAAAACAGCAGTGAGTACCACAACGGTCGGTTTGCCAAATTAATTGTTGGCGATTTTACATTTCACAAATTATTGTTGGCGATTTTTACATTTCTCAAAATACGTGACGCGTTCTTCATCGCGGCAGCCGCCACCCGGGGTTGAACCCATGACCTTAAATACATTTCACCGTCGAGTGAATTTACAGGGCCCGTCCCATTCCTGACACGAATATTTCAGTTCGTACGCGCGCACAATGAGACAGCGAGAGCTGCGTCGCTCCCAAACGCTGCCGAGTAAACCACAGCAGTTGCGTGAACTCAATCTCACGGTGCTTGGCAGCAGCAACCGTTTGATATTTTTTGCATAAGAAAAAAAAACCGGTGAGTAATTGTAAACAGAATTTAAATCAAAAGGGACTAAATATATATTATTTTTGTTAAACAAATCACCGATTGTGGGTTTTGTTTTTTTCTTGAAATGAATTCCAGTTGGGTTTTTATTTAGTTTTGTTTTCTCCAGTTCTGAGAATTTACGACACAGTAGCTACCTTCCGAGCGCCTCCGTTGCGAGCCCTACATGGACAACACCGATATCATTTAGCGCAATGCAATTGTAACGGGATACGGTCGGCCGCGAGATAGCGCAGCGCTCGTTTATCTTGCGCTTCATCTCGAGAGCGGCGCTAACTGAGTAACGGAGCAGCAATTTCGTGGCTGCGTCAAAACGGTTATCCCGAATTTTCCGCGTCTGTTTTACTGCGATGATTCCATCAAGGCGTTTGTTTGCAGTACTTTGCCCATCGTCGCCGTCATCGCCGTCATCATCATTATTATTTCCCTTCTGGAGGACGGGCAGTTGAAACGGAAGAAAGTGACCGTCGGGTGTGAAACTTAAGGACGGACCCAACGCCGAAGCCTCCGCTGTTGCAGTCCGGCGCGATGAGCGGAGTCGATGTCGCGAACGAGAGCCTCGCCGCTCTGCACAACGGCACCGCGTCCAAGAACCTCGCCGGCGGGCGGTGTCCCGGTGTGGATACGAACCCCGCGACTCTCACCGTCGTCCCCGTCATGTACGGCCTCATATTCGTGGCGGGCCTCGTGGGCAACGCAATGGTGGTGGCGGTCGTGCTCAAGTATCTGAAGCTCAGGAACGTCGCCAACGTGTACATCGTGAACCTGGCGACGGCCGACCTCGTGTTCGTGACCACCCTGCCTCTCTGGGCCGCCTCCGTGGCGCGCGGCTACGACTGGCCCTTCGGCGGCTTCCTCTGCAGGGTGTCGGCCACCGTCGTCAGCGTCAACATGTACGCCAGCATCCTGCTGCTCGCCTGCATGAGCGTCGACCGCTACCTGGCCATCGTGCGGCCGCTGCAGTCGCGCGGCGGACGCACGCGCAGGCGCGCCCGCGCGGCCTGCGTCGCCGTGTGGGTCACGGCAGCGCTCCTCAGCGTGCCCGTGGCCGTCTTCAGGGTGACCTTCGTCCACCGCGGCAGAACGGTGTGCGCCCTGCGCTACCCGAGCGCGCGCACCTGGTTCCTGGCGATGAACGTCACCCGCAACGTGGCCGGCTTCCTCGTGCCCTTCCTCGTCATCGTCACCTGCTACTGCCTCATCGGCAGGACGCTGCTGCGCCGCGGCGGCGACGTCGTCAGGCGGGACAAGGTGCTGCCCGCCGTGCTGGCCGTGGTGTTGGCCTTCCTGCTATGCTGGCTGCCCTACCACGTGCTCACGCTGCTGGACACGCTCGTCCGCCTGCGCGTGCTGCGGGGATGCGGCATCACGGTGGCCGTCGACGGAGCCATGCCGATCGCGGTGGTCGTAGCCTACACCAACAGCTGCCTCAACCCACTGCTCTACAGCTTCGTGGGCAAGGGTTTCCGGCAGGGCTTCGGCCGGCTACTGCGGCTCAGCGCCTACGTGCCGCCGCCGCTCGCCAGCTCGTTCACTCGCTCGAGCTCGCTGCGCTCCCGCGTGGTCGAGATGGAGAACATTCGCTGAGAGCGGAGCCACCCCGGCCGGCAGGGACGTGGAGGCCTCCGTGAGACTCGTGGAGGGAGAGAGGGACGGAGGGAGGGGATGGCGCTCGTGCTGCAAGGATTTGTTTTTTTTATCATTTCCCGAAGAACGTCCACCCCGAGGGGAAATTAAATTTAACCGATTTTCGAGATGTGGCTGTGTTCACCAATGGATCCGCGGCGGCGGCAAGCCCCGATGTTGGCTCATTATTAATTCCAACCCAGCGAGGCCCGGTATCAATTTCGGTCGTTGTTTGTGAATTGGTGTGCGCTGTTTTTTTAATGTGTGTTTACGGCAATCGAATTGCTATTCAAGGAGGATGACGATCGCTTGTGTTGTGATAGAAACGTCGTAGTTTTTGTTATTTTCTTTGAACCATCTACGTGGCTTTACCGAAAGACCCAAGAATATGAATTCCTGCAGTCACGAAAGTTTCATGTCAAGATTTAATCGAAGTGCTGTTTGCAATCGCAAAATTGAAATGACGCAGTTAAAACAAAATTGTAACTGAATACTTTAGTAAACATTTTCTTAGGTAGAATTGCGTTTGCAGTTACGTATAAGCACAGTACTTTTCTCTGTTCTACATAAGGGACATTGCCCTAAACGCCCGTCAAATGTAATATGTTTTAATGGAATTGGCAGTGCTCGTGACAGAACAGGTGTTTTTTTATTTGTTTCACATTTGCGCGTTGGGTTTTCGCTTGAAGATCACCGTTTCCTTTAGACACCTTCTTCTCCACGGTTGCATCTGTGCCATGTCAATATTCCCCCCCTCCCCCCCTCTCCCTCGCATTTACTGAAACGTGCCCGGAATGCGATCGGATCGCGTTACCTGGGCGAATACACTGACAGAAGGCACCGGGCTTGTTTTCTATTGGGGCACCCTGTCACACGCTCCCACACACGACAGCGAACTCTCGATCTGATGTTAAAAGGGTTAAACGACAGTGCATTTTAAACATCATCACGATCCGTGGGCAGATAGCCCGTAGTTGTCCACTGCACATTTGGTCATTTGTTTCCACTCTCCTCTCTATCTTGTGCCAAAATGCTCAAGTAGTGGTCACATCTTTCTGGCACCAATTTCTTTATCTCGTAGTCGTCATAGCCATCCTCTGTTCGGTCTTCCTCTCTTTCCGGTTCCTTCCACTTTTTCCGAACAGCAACACTTTTAATTGTCCTGTTGTCCATCATACGTGTGTCTAAATAGTGTTAGTTTCCTTCTCACCACTGTCTGCATCATCATAAGGTGGTCTTCTAGGTGCAACCTTTTTCTTTTCTTCCACGTTGGTCACTCTTTGGGTCCAGTTGAGATGCGGTACCCTTCTGTTACAATACGTTTCGGATGGCAATATTTGCAAATCATCACCAATTAATTAAAACTTCACAGATGATTTTCCAGCGTCTCACACGTTCCATCGTCTCTCGGTCATTCTATGAGCCGAGAGGCACATTCGCAAATGTTTGTATACGTTGTAAATAATGTTGTTGTTGTTGTTGTTTTTGACACGTGCAATGTGATGCACGTATTGTGAGTGTGGGAATCTTTTAATTAATCCATACTGTATCAACATACATTCCTCATGCATGCCAAATAAAGTGTTGTATACTACACACCCACCAACGGTTTGATGAAATATCATGACTTACGATCGCGATTAAATTTAAGAATCCATTCTTTTTTTTCGTCAAGTTTGTATTGTATATATTTATATATTTTTTTAAATAAATAAAATCACCTCCTGAACAGTTTTGTTTACTCTCAACATAAATGTTATATTCACATATCACTGTGCCTACATCTTGTGCCTACACATATCACTGTGCCTAGTGCCTAGTGCCTACACATATCACTGTGCCTAGTGCCTAGTGCCTACACATATCACTGTGCCTAGTGCCTAGTGCCTACACATATCACTGTGCCTACATATTGTGCCTACACATATCACTGTGCCTAGTGCTTAGTGCCTACACATATCACTGTGCCTAGTGCCTAGTGCCTACACATATCACTGTGCCTAGTGCCTACACATATCACTATGCCTAGTGCCTACACATATCATTATGCCTAGTGCCTAGTGCCTACACATATCACTATGCCTAGTGCCTAGTGCCTACACATATCACTGTGCCTAGTGCCTAGTGCCTACACATATCACTGTGCCTACATATTGTGCCTACACATATCACTGTGCCTAGTGCTTAGTGCCTACACATATCACTGTGCCTAGTGCCTAGTGCCTACACATATCACTGTGCCTAGTGCCTACACATATCACTATGCCTAGTGCCTACACATATCATTATGCCTAGTGCCTAGTGCCTACACATATCACTATGCCTAGTGCCTAGTGCCTACACATATGACTGTGCCTAGTGCCTACACATATCACTGTGCCTAGTGCCTAGTGCCTACACATATCACTGTGCCTAGTGCCTACACATATCACTGTGCCTAGTGCCTAGTGCCTACACATATCACTGTGCCTAGTGCCTAGTGCCTACACATATCACTGTGCCTAGTGCCTAGTGCCTACACATATCACTGTGCCTAGTGCCTACACATATCACTGTGCCTAGTGTCTAGTGCCTACACATATCACTGTGCCTAGTGCCTAGTGCCTACACATATCACTGTGCCTAGTGCCTACACATATCACTGTGCCTAGTGTCTAGTGCCTACACATATCACTGTGCCTAGTGTCTAGTGCCTACACATATCACTGTGCCTAGTGCCTAGTGCCTACACATATCACTGTGCCTAGTGCCTACACATATCACTGTGCCTAGTGCCTACACATATCACTATGCCTAGTGCCTACACATATCACTGTGCCTAGTGCCTAGTGCCTACACATATCACTGTGCCTAGTGCCTAGTGCCTACACATATCACTGTGCCTAATGCCTAGTGCCTACACATATCACTGTGCCTAGTGTCTAGTGCCTACACATATCACTGTGCCTAGTGCCTACACATATCACTGTGCCTAGTGCCTAGTGCCTACACATATCACTGTGCCTAGTGCCTACACATATCACTGTGCCTAGTGCCTAGTGCCTACACATATCACTGTGCCTAGTGTCTAGTGCCTACACATATCACTGTGCCTAGTGCCTAGTGCCTACACATATGACTGTGCCTAGTGCCTACACATATCACTGTGCCTAGTGCCTACACATAGCACTGTGCCTAGTGCCTAGTGCCTACACATATCACTGTGCCTAGTGCCTACACATATCACTGTGCCTAGTGCCTAGTGCCTACACATATCACTGTGCCTAGTGCCTAGTGTCTACACATATCACTGTGCCTAGTGCCTACACATATCACTGTGCCTAGTGCCTACACATATCACTGTGCCTAGTGCCTACACATATCACTGTGCCTAGTGTCTAGTGCCTACACATATCACTGTGCCTAGTGTCTAGTGCCTACACATATCACTGTGCCTAGTGCCTAGTGCCTACACATATCACTGTGCCTAGTGCCTACACATATCACTGTGCCTAGTGCCTAGTGCCTACACATATCACTATGCCTAGTGCCTACACATATCACTGTGCCTAGTGTCTAGTGCCTACACATATCACTGTGCCTAGTGCCTACACATATCACTGTGCCTAGTGCCTAGTGCCTACACATATCACTGTGCCTAGTGCCTACACATATCACTGTGCCTAGTGCCTAGTGCCTACACATATCACTGTGCCTAGTGTCTAGTGCCTACACATATCACTGTGCCTAGTGCCTAGTGCCTACACATATCACTGTGCCTAGTGCCTACACATATCACTGTGCCTAGTGCCTAGTGCCTACACATATCACTGTGCCTAGTGCCTAGTGCCTACACATATCACTGTGCCTAGTGCCTACACATATCACTGTGCCTAGTGCCTACACATATCACTGTGCCTAGTGCCTAGTGCCTACACATATGACTGTGCCTAGTGCCTACACATATCACTGTGCCTAGTGCCTACACATAGCACTGTGCCTAGTGCCTAGTGCCTACACATATCACTGTGCCTAGTGCCTACACATATCACTGTGCCTAGTGCCTAGTGCCTACACATATCACTGTGCCTAGTGCCTAGTGTCTACACATATCACTGTGCCTAGTGCCTACACATATCACTGTGCCTAGTGCCTACACATATCACTGTGCCTAGTGTCTAGTGCCTACACATATCACTGTGCCTAGTGCCTAGTGCCTACACATATCACTGTGCCTAGTGCCTACACATATCACTGTGCCTAGTGTCTAGTGCCTACACATATCACTGTGCCTAGTGTCTAGTGCCTACACATATCACTGTGCCTAGTGCCTAGTGCCTACACATATTACTGTGCCTAGTGCCTACACATATCACTGTGCCTAGTGCCTAGTGCCTACACATATCACTATGCCTAGTGCCTACACATATCACTGTGCCTAGTGCCTACACATATCACTGTGCCTAGTGCCTAGTGCCTACACATATCACTGTGCCTAATGCCTAGTGCCTACACATATCACTGTGCCTAGTGTCTAGTGCCTACACATATCACTGTGCCTAGTGCCTACACATATCACTGTGCCTAGTGCCTACACATATCACTGTGCCTAGTGCCTACACATATCACTGTGCCTAGTGCCTAGTGCCTACACATATCACTGTGCCTAGTGTCTAGTGCCTACACATATCACTGTGCCTAGTGCCTAGTGCCTACACATATCACTGTGCCTAGTGCCTACACATATCACTGTGCCTAGTGCCTAGTGCCTACACATATCACTGTGCCTAGTGCCTAGTGCCTACACATATCACTGTGCCTAGTGCCTACACATATCACTGTGCCTAGTGCCTACACATATCACTGTGCCTAGTGCCTAGTGCCTACACATATGACTGTGCCTAGTGCCTAGTGCCTACACATATCACTGTGCCTAGTGCCTACACATATCACTGTGCCTAGTGCCTAGTGCCTACACATAT